TGCTAGCTTCCTGCCGCCTGCAGCTGCTACTTGATTCTGTGAAACTAATGGTAGTTTCAGACATACTCCATCCATTCCAAATTGATCTACATATTGTTTTTTTAAGTTATTCCTAAATGATCTACATATTTGTGTTTATTTATTAAGACTATTCGTTATTTATGCATTGGAGTAAATGGATATTGATGCATGCACCCATGCACACAGGTATTTATAACCCATATGCAATATCTTGATTTGCTATTGGCTAGAAAATAGTGGGGATGGTACATGCATCAAGTTTGTTGCTAGAATAAATATAGTATGAGAGAGTTATTAGTTTTTCTTAGTCTTAGTGTACCTATGAAATATGTAGATCAATTTGGAATGGAGGGAGTAATACTTAACTTCAGAGATATACTATGGTCGAATCAGCTAGCTCGTCTATCCTCAACTTAAATTAGCTACTCCATTCATCCAAAAATAAGTTCAGTTATATTGAAGGAATAAATTAGTATAGAAGGAAAATCCAAAATACCTCTCATTGATAAGAAATTAGTAGCTAGTATTGGCAAATGTGTAGGTAAGATATATTGAAGAATAAAACTCTCGATTTGTGGATCGATCGAGGGTATGGTAGAGGATAAAAATAAACTTATTTTGAGACAAATATTCATTAGATACTAGAGAAGTTTCTTATTCTCAGACGTACTCCCTCGCCATTTGAAAATATGGTGTCATTCTAGTTTTATCTAAGTTAAATATTTATAAGTACCTTTGACCTTATATTTTTAAAATACCAACTATCTTAAGATCATAAGATTTATATTTTAATTCATCATAAAAATTATATTTTCAGATTCAATATAAGAAATATTTATATAAAATATAATTTACATGAATTTATAAAAAAATGATGGTCGGAGATAAAAGCGTTTAATATAGGATAAAGCTATAACGATAAATAATTTAAAACGAAAGAATCGCTACTTAACACTTAAAAATGTTAGCTAGTTCCTTGCCGTAGCGAAATATTATTATTATTTTAAGCGAGGACCAACCCCCATTTAATTACATTACTCGAAATGAATTAATATCTACGAGAAACGTGCATATCTTGTATATGTGGACCAGTAGTACACATACATATCCTCCTTCAGATTGTAATGTGGCCAAGTATGATTTCGAGGCTTAAACTAGTTTCCCAAATTAATTAAAGACCATACATACCCAGTGAATTGCATGCAACTGTTGGTGTCCCAACAGCAAATCTAGGGAGACAAATATTCATACGTTATAGGCCAATCGTTCGCTAAAAGAAGTGAGTTAATTAAGTTATCCAGATAAAATATAAAAAGTAGAAGCAGGAAACTTTTTGGAAGTGGACACGCATGTTTGCATATGTTACGTAGGCAGCAACTAATTAACCAGGGCATGCATGCATCTCTTAATATTAGGTTTCCTTTGACTTCAAATTCAACAGGATGTACAACAAGAATATGGATGAATTTCTGGTCAGAGACTAAATATACTGCACCCATATATTAGCATGAGCACATTCACGTTGGAGTTTAGAATTTGGTCTCTTCTCTGTGGATTATTCTCTCTGCCGTACGTGTAAAGATTTTCTCCGGTCTCCGCTCGTAATTGACTTGCTTTAAAGTCTAGCCAAACATGCTCATGACGTTATGTGGTTTAGACCTCTCTTTTGGAACACATATATCTCCCAGGTTTTAATTAGAGGGGTACGTGTTCATGCTTTATTAGAGGTGTTCATGACAGTTACACGTAGCTACTACCTCCGTATCAGGTTACAAGACTTTATAGCATTGTTTATATTTATATAGATATTAATGAATCTATGCACACATATATGTCTGGATTCATTAATATATACATAAATATATGTAATGCTAGAAAGTCTTATAATATAAGACTGGAGAAATAATTATTAGATATCAGTGATGATTTATTGATTGATAAACCAAATGGGAAAGATCGAGACCAACTTTGCGATGGTCTAGTAGTACAGTGGTACCACATATACGTGGGTCTATGTGAGTGGTCAACCATTTGGACAGAATTTTTCGTTTTTCACTGTTGGCCCTCACATCCAGAGACAACACTACTCTTCTATATTTAGGGTGAGTTTGAGGAGAAAGGGATTGAGAATATTGGAAAGATATATAAAACGATGTGAGCAATTAGCGTATGATTAATTACGTATTAACTATTTAAAATTTTAAAAATAGATTAATATGATTTTTTAAAGTAACTTTTCTATAGAAATTTTTTTTTTAAAAAAACGTACTGTTTAGTAGTTTGGGAAGCGTGCACCTGGAATACGATTACGATGTCCTTTCTCACCCTATGTCACCAGAACTAACGCTCCCTTAGTCATCGCCATTCAGTCAGTATTTGTTTGATATGCCAGAAAATTCGAGGAAATACTGAAACAGTATAATGAGAGAAATAATAGTAAATACTCCATCTGTCCCAAATTATAAGACATATATTTTTTTGCACGGTCTTTAATAACATACTTTGATCAGTATTTTATTTTGTTTTATAATCCCAACATATATAAAATTAGCATCATATGAAAGTACTTCAAAATTTGAATCTAGTGATATAACATGCATAATACTTAGTACTTAGTATAGATATAGTTAGTATGACTATTAGTAAAAAAAAAACTACCGAGTTTGAATTTTCTTAAAAAAGGGGCGCCTTATAATTTAGGACGGAGGGAGTACTCCCTTTGTCTAAAAATATAAGACGTATTTTATTTTGTACGACAAAGATTTAACCAATAATTGTTCTATTATGATATATTTTTTACAGGATATTGATGTTATTATATTCATATTCAAAAATACTTATGCTTATACTTTTGTATCGTATAATTGATATCCTATTGTTAGTTAAATTCAAGTCTTGTCATAATGAAACAGAATGGTCATTATATTTTTCGATGAAAAAATTCCCTGTGTACCTATAAAGCTTTCTCTGATATCTTCCATGCCCTTGAAATTTCCATAAAAGTCTCGCATTACAAATTCATAAATATTAAAGTCTCATACAACAAATTTCTATACTCTATAAATTTATATATTTTTTACCATAGGAAAAATAGACTTTTTCGTAAGAATTCAATGTAAACTAATTGTCAACTAACAAAAAGAGTATATATCGAAAGGATCCAAAACTAAAATTCGGGGGTATACAAGGAAATCAGTAAAATTTAGAGAAACAAAAGGGATTAGGGGAATGTTTTAGGTACACAGGGAATTTCCTCTATTTTGATAGAGGGTATATTTGAGAGCAATTTTGAGACATTTTTTAGAATTTCAATATAAATTGCCAAGAAATACCAAGGATATATTATATATAGAGAGAGATCATTAGAGGATTGAGACATTTCCCCAAGCGAGTTAAGCTCGAGTAAACTTGTAGTGATATGATGTCTTCCTCTCCAAGTTACTCCCTTTGCTCAATATTTGATATTTAGGACAATATTTAGTTAAACTTTTAAACTTTGACAATTAAATTTACATTGAAATAAGTTTATAAACCTAATAAACTACTTCATCTCAAAATAGGTCTTATCCTAGGTAACAATATTTTAGGATGGAGGTAGTACTTTCTCCGACTTTTAATAGATAGTGTCGTTGACTTTTGAACATATGTTGGCTATTTATTTTACTCAAAATTCCGTGCAAATATGCCAACGCGTAACTCACGCTTGAAGTACTTCTAATGGGTGTGTGTGTATATATTGTCTGAAAGACAATGGTGTTATCTATTAAAAACATGAGAGAGTATAAGATAAATCTATAGACATATAATTATTTTAAAAAAACTAAGCATTTTGATTATTTTTTTGTTGTTTCAAGTATCAAAATATTTATGACTAAAGTGAGTAAAATATGAGTATGCTCTATTCAAAGTTGTATAACTTTTTTAGTTTTCTATCTATAGTTTAATGTTTTTCTAACTGCTTAAGAATTTTGTTCTTGAACCTTCCGTATTTTTTTAATCAATAGCATTGACTAGGCAATAATGTTAGACGCGTACCACTAGCACGCTATTTTTGGAATATATATAATGGCATGAATGAAACAGAATTGCAACTTTCAAAGAATAAAAACTTTCTACTTTCGCTTACCATAATCACACCGTTTGTTTATTATAGTGTCTATTTGTTTAGCTTTGACCTGTCTGGTCGCTGCTCATTACATTCCTTAGAGTTGGTGCCATTATTTATTCCCTCATTGAAAATAGTACGCCACCATTATTGGAAATGTTTTCTTTTCAACCGCATCTATCTATTATATATAAAAAAAATAAATTAAACTTTGTACAAAGGCTTCTAAATTAATGGACCGATTGACCCACTTTTTTTACCGTATAATTTAAACGAAGAGGCCTCTCCGTTTAGCGCTATCGCGCGACGCGCGTGGCAGCCGTCGATCTGCGCTTGGTGACGTGGCGTCCATCCGGCGCACACCGCGCGTCCCGACCGGCCGACCGAGCGAGCTCATGCGTCGCCTTTTCCGACCGAACGAGTGAGGGTTTACTGTTCAAATTTTTTGGGTGGCGCTCGACTCGAGAGAGAGAAAGAGAGAGAGAGAGGCGGAGAGTGAGAGAGAGGCGGAGGCGGCATGAATCTCCAGCGAAATCCGTGGTGGAGGCGGCGTGAATCTCCGGCGAAATCCATGGCGAAGGGGGGATGGGGGAGTTGCTGATGTTTCCTCCCGTCGCGCTGGCGTCGGCGGAGTCGGCGGAGCCGACGGCGGAGGCGCGGAGCCGACGGTTTCCCCTCATCGCGCCGGCAGTTGCGGTGGGAAGCGTAGGCTGCGGCGGAGGTGGTTTTCTCTCCTCCAAATCCGGCGGCCATTTTTTTTGGTAAGTTGCGGCGTGATGCGGCGGTTTCGTTGCGGTTTTTTTGAGCCGAAGAGGTGGAGTGATGGGGCTGTTTTTCCGTGCGTTTTTTGTGCCGGGGAGGTGGAGAGATTGGGCAGTTTTTCACTATGCAATTTGCTCCTCAAACCTCCCGGTTTGTTCTCCCCTATTCCCTCATTTCCCCTCTCTCTCCCTCATTCATCAGGTGCTAGTTCATCCTCTCGGCGAGCACAAGGTTGCGGTGGAATTCGCCCCCTCAAGCGTTGGCTTGTGGATCTCGGGTTCCATTTGAAGGTATTTAAATTTCTCTCTCTCTCTGGCTTATGTAGATTTTTCCGGTTGCAAGTTGATTACTAGTGATTACTAACATCCAAAATGAATTTCCAAAATTATTACTAACATTATTAGTTGCAAGTTGATTATTAGTTGATCGATGGTTAGTTGCAAGTTGATAACTAACATCCAAATTGAATTTCCAAAATGATTACTAACATTATTAGTTGCAAGTTGATTATTAGTTGATCGATGGTTAGTTGCAAGTTGATTACTAACATCCAAAATGTATTTCCAGGAATGGGAAAAAGAAAAACCATTGTACAGAAAGGCATGTTAGGCAAACCAGAGCCAAGTAAAAAAACAAGGGGGGTTTCGCAACGTGCTAAGAAAAGAAGTATTGGAGATGATCATGCAGATGACACAGAGCAACCTCCTCCAAAAAGGAGCAGATCAAAGGTATTAAGCATCTACCTATTTTTATGCATTTTTTGCCCTCAAGCAGTGTTTTGCTTTTTCCAATGCACTACATTTTCTTATGATGCATTAAGTTACTTCTCACTGTGCATCAAGTTACTTCTCACTGCGGATTAAGTTACTTCTCACTGTGCATTAAGTTACTTATGTTAAAAATCTTATGAGATTTCCAACACCAGTACTCATGGCTATGTAACTAGGGAATGCAAATTCAAGTTTATATTTTGGAAGTAACTTGCATGTTTCTAGGAAGCAACTTTTTGAGTTTTATAACAAGTAACTTTCTGTTCAAATTGCTCTGAGAGGCAACTAGATGGAATGTATCATGCTGTGTAACTAGGGAATGTGAATTCAAGTTTATCTGGAAGTAAGTTGCATGTTCATAGGAAGTAACTTATTGATTTGTTAGAAGTAACTTCCTGTTAAAATTACTTTGAGATTTTCTGTTAACAAGTAAGAAGTTACTTCTCGATGTGCCTGAAGTTACTTCTCTATGTGTATTAAGTTACTTCTCTATGTGCATTAAGTTACTTCTCGCCGTGCCTAAAATATTTTGATGCTGTTGCTTGAGGGCAAGTTATTTTCTAGAACTAACTTAATGGCAAGTTACTTCTTGGTTCAGTTACCCTTTTTTCAACTGTTTTATGTATGTTTTTGAAAAAATAAACAAATGTTGATGTTTTTTTATTTTTCTTTTTGTTGTTTTATTCATTTGCAGCAAGAAAGTAGCAGGGCTTCACCTATGAAACTTATAAAGTTGTATCCCCATATGACTGGCGAATAAAAGCGACTAATAGAGGGGGCTGGCTTCCATGGTCTCGTAGATCTCAAGTGCTCGAAGCTCAGACCTGATTTGTGCAGCTGGTTGATGGAGCATTTCAATCCAGCAACCAATCAGCTTGTATTCCCTGGACGTGGAGCCATAGATGTGAATGAGGAGTCAGTGAAGTCTGTGCTTGGTATCCCTATGGGTGACAAAGATGTCTCATATGATATGGAGTCTGAAGCTACAGAATTTGTGCTGAATTTGCTTGGAATCAACGATGGTATCTCACCATCACTGACTTCTCTTGGGATTCAATTGGAGAAGTTGAAGTTAGCAGATGACAAGTACCTGCGCATGTGGATCATCTACGCCATTTCTTCTGTTTTAGCACCAACGACGGCAACAACAGTCAGCCCAAGATGCTATCCTTCTGTTGTTGATGCTGGAAATATCAAGAATCTTAATTGGTGCAAGTTTGTCATATCTATTTTGCAAAAAGCTGCTAAAGCTGGGAAGAATACCAACTCATCATGTCTCCTGTATATGATGGTAACAATGCTCACCTTTTTTTATTCGATCACTGTCCCAATGTAACTTTTATGTTTTTTAGAAGTAAGTTAAGCTGTCCAGGAAGTAACTTATATGTTCCTAGGAAGTAAATTCTTTCTGTTAAATTGTTATAAATAACTTTCTGTCAAGTAAATTCTCTCTGTGCATTAAGTTACTTCTCACTGTTTATTAAGTTACTTCTTACTTCTTACTGTGCATTAAGTCACTTCTTACTGTGCATTAAGTTACTTCTTCATATATGCCCTGCCACATCTTTTTTTCCAATTTGTTTTTAAATTTAAATTACATATGGAAGTTAACATATTTTGTAGGTTTTAAATCAAACAAGTTATGTACTTTTTTTTTACTTAATCTAAATGCTCTAATTTCTTTTGTAGATTCTTTATTTGGACTCGCTTTCATTTAAAAATCTCAATGTTCCAGTGGAGGGTTATCGAGCTACTGTTTGGACGAATGAATTGATAAATCAAACAATATTAGCAGACACATCAGCAGACGGCTCCTTTGGAGCTTTACCAGTGAGTTTTTTTTATAGTTGGCATACTTGCATCATTTTTAGTTTTTTGTTTGTTCGTAACTTATGGATTTTATAATTGAAAATATAGCTTAGGAGCAGTTTTTCAACATAAAGGGACCAATTTGTTTGGGAGCAATGTAGATTTTTTAACCTTCATAAATTCAAATGTGCCCAATACTATGCAGCAACAGGTTTATATTTTTTTCCCCACTTCTCTGTTTTACCCTTGGTAGATGTAACGTCAACAAACTGCAAAAGTAACTTTGTGAAATCTACATATGTAACTTCTCTGTTTTTTCTTTATATACAGGAAAATGACAGAATTGTGATCGCTGTGCAAAATTTGTGTGAAGGGTTTTCAGGTTTGGTCACGAAATTTGTGAGACAGATTTCCGGCCTTGATTTTGTGGATCCTAGGGGTAGCCAACCAAGGAAAATGCGAATGAACCGGAAGAAATATGCACAAAGGCCTAAAAGAGTTCAGCAAGATGAAGATCTAGGTTTGGTTTTTTCACTATGTTTCTATTGATTATTGTACAGAATAATTAATATAGCCATGTTCTACCACTCTGCACAATTTGAATCTCATTAGTATCATTGTTCTACCACACTGTTTTTTTACAATGATTTGAACTGAATTTTTAGTTTTTTACATTTGTCCAAACAACTTCCTACAGTACACTAAGTTATTTTTGTTCTTTTTGGTAGATGTAACTTCAAGTGATGATGAAGATTTTGTTGCTGATGAAGAAGTGGAAGACACTGAGGAAGATGAATATACTGATGAAGATGGAGATTCTGATGATGATGAGGATGAAGGAGAAGAAGATGACAATGATGAAGGAGAAGAAGATGACGATGAGGATAGGTCAGAAAATGATGACGATGATGGTGCTGAAACTGGAAGAAGTGGTGAGCAGGCTGATGCTGCAACTAATGTTATTGGTTGCAAAGGAGATGATACAAATGAAGGGATTGGCAGCGGAGGCAAAGACGTTGATGATGTTACTGGATGCAAAGGAGATGACACAAATGAAGGGATTGGCAGCGGAGGCAAAGGCGCTGATGATGTTATTGGAAAAGGGAAACAAGTAGATGAAGATATTGGGTTTGGTGACAAGGAAAAACATGAAGAAAAGCAAGCACCCAATGCTGTAGCACAAAATGTTCCAGAATCAGAGAAGCAACCAGTGCAAAAGGCAGAAAAATATCCTTTCCTAACAACAACCATTGATTCACATGAAGTTCCAAACTTCAATCTTGGTTTTGATAGCTCTCAGGAAGTTGTGCAAACACCAAAGGGGCAAGAAGCAGTAGGAACATCTCGAGGTAAAGAATTTACTGGAATTATCACAAATGAGGACTATGGAAGTTTTACTACTGAAGACTATGAAAAGGTTGGGAGAGAAGCAGTTGAGGCCTTGCCAGCAAATCTGCCACAAAATCACCTGTCGCTGAAATAATCTCCAAGGAACCTATTGCTTGTGAAGTAGAAGAAGAAACACCTGTGCCCCATGAGTACAATAAAAGGGTGGTGAAACCAGCGAAATTCAAAAGGTCACCCTTCATTGATTATGAGAACAAGAAGCAGTTCATGGTTTCTCGAGTTATAAACGAGGTATATGATGACATTTGCAAGAATGGAGGGAGAACTAAGTTAAGAAGGAATAGGTACAATCTCATATTTTTTGTTGTACACAGTACTTTTTTACTTTTTAGTAAAATGATCTTTGTAGAACTAACTTCACTTCTCAGAGAAGTAAAATTACCTTCTTAAATAAGTAACTTCACATGCCATTGAAGCAACTGCATTTTGGTTCATACCTTCCATTTGTTGTGTGCATATTAGTTCTGCACACGACCCAGCAATTTTTTCCAGACAAACTTTCTACACACCCCTGTGCAGTAACTTTACATGTCATAGAAAGTAACTTAACATGTCACTGAAAGTAACTTAACATGTCACTGAAAGTAACTTACCATGTCATTGAAATTAATTTAACATGCTACAGTAGTTGTACAAGGTATACTAATTTGCTTATTTATTTTTTTTCTTTTTGCTTTTGTTAAATGCAGCCGAAAGATCATTGATACAGGAGAATATTATATTTATCTTGGCGATCTTGCGAACTCTGTCAAACCTATGGGCTCACTGGACAATAATACATGTGAATTGGCATTAATTGTTCTGTCTGCTGATATCAAGGACAATTCGAAGAGAATTTTTCCTGCCATAATAGGAGTGAGTATATAAAATGTACTATTACTATCATTGCAACACCTTATGTTTTTTTTTCCACATGGTGCAGGGATATTTGTTGGATTCGTAGTTGGACAGGAATGAGCTCAAGAAACACTTCGATCAAACGAGAGCGAACCGTCTTGACCATAAAGAATTAGTAAGAAAATATATATTCCAGTTGTCAATGACATGTAAAGTTACTTATTCCTGTTTGCTTGTAGAAGAATTATTAAGAAAATATATATTCCAGTTGTCAATGACATGTAAAGTTACTTTTCTTGTCTGCATGTAGAAGTAACTTAAATATTTCTGCAAATTAACTCAGCATGCTTGTGGAAGTAACTTTTTCTGTTATATTGATAGGAAATGTTATTCTGAAACATTTTTTATTATCCTTTTATACTTACTAAATTATGATTATATTTACTGAAAAACCTTTTTTCCACTCCCCTCCCTCTTTTCACTTGAATGCAGGCATTTTTTCCCATTCTCCAGAAATTGGGTAATGGGAATGATAAGGCTGGTCACTATTTCATGGTGTGCCTTAATCTGAAAGCTGAAAGATTCGAGGTTTATGATTCGCTGAGAGGAGAAGATGACGAAGAGCTGATTTCAGCATCTCATCTTGTTGTTGCATCCATCAAGACCATGTGGGATAGGTTTTACATGAGGTCTTCGAAGAAAACCATCTAGAATTACCCACTGATTTTCATTGATGGCCCAAAGCAAGATAACATGTACGTAACATGCTTTTTTTAGTTAATGATTTTCATTTATTGTTTTTAGTCAAACTTATCCCTGTTTTGTTTTTGCTAACAAAAACAGCCGGGATTGTGGTTTTTATATGCTGAAATTTGTGGAGTTGTGGGATGGCAAACAGTTGCCAGCATTTGAACCAAGTGACATCCCCAACATTAAGAAACTACTTACACACAAGATGCTCTCGTTTCAAGAAAATCGTGTGCAATGGATGCAAGTATTATGGGGCAAAGAGCCTGATCCTACACTTAAGGTAAAGTAATGAAACACTGCATTTTTTTTCTAGAACCAGCACATAAGTTATAGCCACATAAATTAGGTTGGGTAACAAATTAAAATAGCATCTTGGTTCTGCAAAGAACTCAGCATGGTCTTCCTGAGAACTTACATATCACTGTGAAGTAACTACTATGGAAGCTAAAAGTAATTTAATGCAACTGTGCAAGTAAGTTTCAACAATTTTGTCACAACATTATAAGTTACATCTCGTAGCTCTAATTCACTTCCCAGTACTAGCTAGGCCTTTCCTAACTGATGTCTTTGACGCCTTTGCATGGACCCCAGGCTTGCGTCTTGTTGAAACTGGTCTCCCTTGCTTTTGTATGATGGGGGGGTCATTTATTTGTAGTGTTGGGTTAGTTGATGCCGAGGGGATATCTGAAACTCCTCTTGCAGGATCAGCTGGGGCTGGCTGTGCTTTTTTCTGTTTCTTTCTACTCTGCTTCATAGCTGCTAAGTCATCAGTCATTGAGCTCATACGCTGTAGAGCCATACGGTAGGCTTTCTCGTTGCTTGATGCATCTTTTGCAATCTGTGTAAATTTTGTGCACAGATTGGTATAGCTGATTAGCTTCAGAGATTCAGGGGGCAATTGCATTTGTTCACCAATGCTTGTAACTGGAGGCAATTCAGGCTCTTTAACCATCGTCCATCTAGGCAATATGTAGTGTTCTGGAATGTCACTCACTTGGCCCACAAAATCAGATGCCATCACCTGCATGGAAAAAAACATATGTTTTATCACATGCCAAAAGTGCTTAATGCATAAGAAGTAATTTAATGCACATTAAGAAGTAACTTAATGTGCAGTAAGAAGTAGCTTAATACAAAGTGAGAAGTAGCTTACTGCAATAACAGACTGTTACCTTCAAAACATGACACCAAAGAATGCCATCCCTTTCGAACTTACAGCATTCACAGTTGTATATCCTGTCCAACACATTTGCAGCTAGAATGAATGTCCTTGATCCATAATTCCTAACAGGACCTCCATTCGGTTCTACTAGATACATGTTTTCAGAAGTTCGGGTCAATTTATATGATGTTGAAGCAATCAGCTCTTTTTGAAATCTGTTGAATATAGGCCTTGTGTAGACCTCCAATGCTTTTGTTTTCATGGGATAGTTAGCCCACATAGAAGGGATTGTTTCTTCTGCTTCAAACTCATTCTGATCTGTTGCAACAGTGATTTTTTCTTGAATCTTCTTGTACTGCAAAAAGAAGTTGTATATGCTGTTTTGGGGATTTACATAGCGCTTCAGCACTGCGTTAAATCCCTCACTCCGTGCTGTAGTCTGGAGGAAAGGGAAGAAACAATGCATAAAGTATGCTGGGACCCAACACTGTCAACATTGCATCCCATTTAGCATCAAACTCTTGCTCTGTCCAGCTGTTGTTAAGGCAGTCATTGAATGCATCACACAATGCTTTGTCATGATCTAATATATGGCCAATCTTCTTCTGAGCATTCTGCATTATATGCCAGCGGCAGTTGCGATGCTTAGCATGTGGGAAAACTAGTGCTATAGCTGCCTTCATAGCTAGGTCTTGATCAGTTATTATGTTTATGGGCTCTACACCTTCCATAGCCTCTAGAAATTCTTGAAACAACCATACAAAGGTTTCTGTCTTTTCATTCCTTAGAAATCCACAACCCAGCTGAATATAAAAAAAATACACGTAAGGAAGTCAGTACAGTTTTGAAGCAAGTAAGTTACTACAATTTTGCGTAGTCTGTACAGTTTGTGTTTGCTAGAAGTAAATCAGTACAATTTTGAACTATAGAACAGACACTAAAAGATGTAACTTGTAAACTTAGTTACTTTTTTACTTTTTTTAAAAAAAAATGTAACTTCACATTCTACTGGAAGTAACTTTTATCAGGACTTGATGTAACTCAATGAATGCAACAAGTAACTTATGGTGTACTATAATGTACAAAGTTATTACAGATTTTTTAGAATTACTTTTTTGCAAAAAAAGGAGTACCTGTATTGATTGCCCATGTCTGTTTATCCCAATAAATGGTGCACAAGGCATGTTATACATGTTCGTCATGTATGTGCAGTCAAACGAGATGCAATCTTTGAAGTCTTTGTAGGCATTTCTTGCTGCTCCATCAACCCAAAATATGTTCTGCACCCTGTCTTCCTTATCAAGTTGAATCTTGTAGAAGAAATTCGGGTCATCCTTTTTGATTTCCTCAAAGTGAGCAATTGTTTCAGGAATATCTCTACACCTATACTCGCTCCCCAACTTTGACTTGAAATTGCTTATGTCTTTTCTAGTGTAGGGTACATTCCTAGCCCCTCCATACAATTCAGACATCAATTGCATAATTCTACTCGCTGAGAGATTAACTCCGTGCAGCATTGTGATGAAATCTTTTTCCTCTTTCGGTATTGCTCTATGTGACCTTAGGAATTTCTTGAGTGAAAACTTTCTAACCAGGGGATGTGTGTGTTCTTCAACAAACTGAATTACTTCCCACCTAGCTCCTTTCCTCTTCATTGTCATCCTTGCTTTGCAGGCAGCCTGTCTTGTTCTACTTCTTTTCCTTTTCTTTGGGGGGGGGCACGCTTCACCCGTTTTTTCTTCTGGACCACATTTGTTGCAAACAAACATTACTTTGTCACGTTCTCCATTTTTGGCTGACTTTCTTGAAGTGTTGATTTTGATTGAAAATCCAACGCGCTTTGCGTACCTGTTGTAGTGAGCCCTTGCTTCCTCCTCTGAGTTGAAAGTCAAGGTGAGGTACGGCACTTGTGTGCGCACGGAATATCCTGTGATGGCGTTGACTGTGCTTCTGAGTCATCTGTTCCAGAGTCTTCACTTGAAATTGTGTTGGCAGTAGCAGTTGTTGCGCCAGTTGCAACACTAGTATGCATTGTGTCTGCATGATCTGACATTTCTTCAAATACTTGCATCTCATCATTGGCTACATTGTGTGCTTGTAAACTTCCAGCATCACCAGCAGTATACATATTTTCATAGTCAAAAGTGTCGTCCAAATTTATAGTAGGAATCTCCATTCTAGTGTCAGTTGGATTTATAGGGAAGTATGTTTCACTTTTGTCTTCATCATCAACTAGTAAATGGTGTACTGGAGGTTCATTTTCACCTGAAACTAATTCCGGGATACTGTTAAGGTCAAAATCCATTTTTACTGCATGTGTTTCAGGATATTAGTAACAAAGTTTATACATAGCATTCATTGAGGTAATTCAGTAATTGGGGAGGGGGGGAGTAACTTTAGTTTTCACCGCATGTCTTTTTTAGATTCTTTCTAGGAAGCAATTTTCTCAAATTAAGGCCAGTGGCTATACTAATATTTTTTTTCACAATTTGTTTTGATGCGGTACCAGATGAAATTGAGACGCAATTAGGTGATGCATCATGTTGTATATAGAAACAAGGTACAAAATGTGTAACTAGGAAATGTAAATTCAAGTTTATAAGGAAGTAACTTCCATATTTCTAGGAAGTAACTAATTGAATTGTTACAAGTAACTTTCTGTTAAAACTGCACTGAGACTGTTAAAATTGCTATCAGAACCTAATGCACAGTGAGAAGTAACTTAATGCACAGTGAGAAGTAACTTAATGTTTCTTGGAAGTAACTCATTGAAGTGTTAGAAGTAACTTTTCTGTTAAAAATGCACTGAGACTTCTGTTAAAATTGCTATGAGATTTCCAACACCAGCACTCATGCCTATGTAACTAGGGAATGCAAATTCAAATTTATTTTGGGAAGTAAAGTAACTTTTCTGTTCAAATTGCACTGAGAGGTAACTAGATGGGATGTTTTCATGCTGTGTAAACTGTAAACTAGGGACTGTGAATTCAAGTTTATCTGGAAGTAAGTTGCATGTTCCTAGAAGTTGCTTTGGGTTTTTTTGAAACACCAGTACTCATGCCTTTTCTACAACTTTTTTTCTCAGCAGCACTAGAAAGTGAATTTGGGGTATAAAGGAAGACAGAAATCAAGAAGGAAGACAGAAAACAAAACTACAGCTCATTACTTACAAAATTACAGCACAGATTCATATCAATTTGTTTCTCGAAGAATACAGAAAAGATCTAAAAGTTTCTAGGTTAGTTCCTTTTTTTTGTGGACGGATCTCAAAGAAGACATAATTTGAACTTCATGTGTACTTTACCTGGATATTTTTCTTGGATTTGCTTCTCCTCCTTCCCCTCTTCTAAGATGGCGATTTTTTTTTCTGATTTTTACCGCCGTGGCGGCTGTGTGGGGATTGAATGTCGCCGGATGTCTCGATTTGATGGGTTGGAGTGGGGGAGAGAGGCGCATCGTGCTGTTTTAGGTGGGGCCCACGCCAGCTAGCGACGCGTGCATCGCACGGCGCTTGCACGCGCAAGCGCGCGCTTTCCTTTTTTAGCGATGGCGCGTGCGGGGGCCCGGGAAAAAGTGGTTTCTGTTTTTGGCATGGGGCGTGCGTGCGGCGCGGAATCGCCAGATGCGCGCGTCGCGCGATAGCCCTATCGCGATACCGGTCTCGGTGTAGTCGCGTCCTTTTTTTAGCTATTATATTTATCTTAACAAAAAAAAATCTCTTCTCCCTCCCACTGACCCACCTTTCCACCACACCGGTTATCAAGCACGTATGTATGAAAGGATGAATTCAGTCTTTTTGGTAGGTAAGATATTTTTTCAATTTAATTTCTTAGTTTCTATCTCACAGGAGGTTCAACTGGCTACGGACTTTGGGCAGCACTAGCAAACTAATAGCTAACAACTTATGATATATATGTCACCCAAATAAACTATCAACAAATCATAGTAGCAGAACCAAATAGTGATGAAAATATATATAGAGTACGAGCTTCTTAAGCATGTAGCCACAACAAATCAAAACATTATATCCTTGCATTCGGCCCCATAATCACTACTACATAAATGATTTTTCTGTACGATGACCCATTTTTTAGAAGGACCGTAACTGGTCGCACCTGCAAAAATCGACCTCCATTTTCCTATATGGACCCTTAAGAGGCCCGCATGCAAACTAACTTGTGGTGGGTAAGGGGGCTTTTGTCTCCACTTGGTGTATATTATTGAAGCATGCTTATATCATGTATAAACTTTAAGTTGAGACTAGTCATGCATCGACAGAAGCGTTATCCAATAGCTAGATGAAACCTCACACCTAGCTAGCATGACACGACCCACTGGTGGAATGACATATACTAGAAGAGAACATGTGGCGACACGCCACACACTTGAAAGAAATTCTAATAAATGCAAATTAGCTACTATTGATTTAACCTAAGAAGGTAACCTCAAAGCATAGGATTTACATAACTGGAAGTTTGTTATTCATGTGATGTCAAATTCAAAAGAGGAAACATGTAAGTATTATTGGATTGGTGAAAAGTATTGTGTGTGCACGAAAACAGGTTAATCACATACATTATATAAATAATTTGAAGTTTATTAAGAGTTGCTCTTTAACTAAACTGACCAAACCTAGGAAAAACAGTGAACTATATTACAGAAGTGGACATGCAACAAAATATAGGTACAATGGCAGAAATAACAACTATTATGTTACAGCCTCGCATGTAGCTTTGTTAACTTGACAAAAACAGTGAATTACATTATGTTGTATGGTCATGTACATCAACTAACATGTGCAAGCATTGGGTCTAGGTGATGGCAATGGGTTGCATGATCTTCCATCAAGTGAAGATAACTATCGATTTAGCGAAAACTTGACACACATAATTCGGCTTCCGATCAACACGATCCGAACGAAGCAATTGCAGCATCACGTCTCCTCTGGTTATCAACCATGCTGAAACCCAATTGACCTCACCAAGAAGGCTAATCCCTGCGTGTGAATCGAAAAACACAAACGCGAACAAGAAAGCTAGCAACTCAATTGTAGATGAATGATTGATCAAGAACTTGAATTTGGGGTTCCACAAACCGATCTAGCGGCAAAACTGCGATGGTAGAAATAATCTAATCAAAACCCAACCGTAACTCAATGGCGGCTACTGAATATATATATGTTCTATCCCTATTGGCCTCCAACCCAATACATGGCCCAACGGGCCCAAAGACGGTGACGTAACACCCAAATAAATTACATTAGGAAATACAAAATATCAATTGGGACTAAATTAAAATATTTGGAGAAAATATAATAAATTCGTAAAATAATTGATTTTTACTTTTCATTGAAATTGGAACAACCACTGTGTGTTCCATTGCCATAACAAATTTTAGATACTTAGATATTAGTGACCTTCTATCTATCCTATAGCGTGGCATTATGAGTTTCTCCACATATTATTGTATATATAAGCCACACAAAGGTAATGGTGTATAATTGGTTGAAAAGTTATATTTGTTACTACCAAATTTAATTTTTTGGACTCATGTTAACTAGGTACTTTCTTTTAGAAAAGATAGTATACATCATGCATATCACAAGGAAGTGAGGTCTATGATATATCTTTTGTTAAGTACGTGACAACCCGCATCAATTTAAACCAACCAGAAGAAGGACTAACTTGATGGTACAAATAAAACATATTTATTAACAATAATAGTTCAATAGGATTTGTTAAAGAAAAGCCAGTAAATATTCAATTAAACAAAACAAAATACCTTATATGGATAATAAAGAGTTCATAGATAATTCTTTGTATGGATGTATTAAATATTATATATTTCAAAAGGTAACTAATATATTGAAAAAATATTCTAAGCAATATCGATGAAGAAAATTTATGAAAAAATTGTACTTTTGAAACATGATAAGTGTCAACGAGTTGATATTTCGCCTATATAAGTTTTTTAAAACGCAATCTACAATGCATACCCGTGCGAACGCGTGGGCTACCTTTCTAGCTGAGAAAAAAAATACGCACAGAGAGTAATAGACAAAAACATAGTAAATCGAGCATTCATGTTGCATGCCTAGACTATTCCTATAGAAAAGAAAATGTAGGAAAATCGAAAATATCATTCAAATTATAATGTCCTAAAGGGAAAAAATAACTGAGAAAAAAATTGAGTAACTAGTAGCTAGGTGTGCGCTACTATTTTTGTGCCGTATATACGTCAAATTAAAGGAAAATTTGCTATGGCATATTCCAACGTCCAAATTTTTCTATGCGTTTCGTTTTGTTCCAATTAAGTGTAGTTTTATCTGTACCTTATAATCAATACTTCCTTAAAAAATTTCCAAAGTACAAAATTGCAGATAAATGAAAAATTCACAACCTAATTTAAAACAGAGATCAGTAATGAAAATTTAATATCATTCATACAATCTGCTTAACACTCCTATAACCAACAATCAACTGAAGACATAATTAAATTATATTCTACCAAAAATACATACAGAAACAGTCGAAAGAAACTTCGACTTTTTATTCAAAATGCAACTGCAAATTTCCTTACAAAAATCTCATAAATACAGTGACCGAATGAATCAACACAATACAAAGAATCAAACTAAGAAAACAATACGACCGAGCGAGCAATGATGCGCATGCATACATCCAATGCTAGTGCATTCATCTCTTACTCATCTAATTACACGTACGTTAATTACCCATCATCCGTCCTCCCTGATGAAAAGCTTGATGATAGCGTCACCGATCACGATCGTTAATAATAATGAATTTTTTTGTACGCAGGCTTTGTTTTTCTATGGATATCTGAATCTTTGATAGATCACGGTCGGTGTGGGCAGCCGCCATTGGAGCTGTTGGTGCCGCACGAGGGCCCCGCCGCCAGCCGCTGCAGGTACATTTGCCGGAGTAGCAGCTGGACCACGCCGCCGGCGGACACCGCCGCCGGCTCGCCGCCGAGCGGCCGCGCCGCCTCGCCGGAGACGGCCAAGAACGCCACGCCGATGAGCAGCACCGCCGCCACCACAGCTGCTAGCCTCCTCCTGATCACAACAGTCGCCATGGAAAAATGGAAAAATGTATACTCCGAATTAACAACCAAGCTGATATGTGTATTTCTCGATCGATCAATTAATTGATCGTTAATTCGGTCAGTGAATAAATGGCTTTGATTTGATCTCTGCTAGCTTCTCTATGATCTCTCTTAATTCTTGTTGTGGATTTGATGGTGTATTGGGGTACCAGGGCGAATGCATATATAGGGCACAGTTTCATGCTTAGGCTTCTGACCAATTAATTGGTGCAATATTAGCTATATGCATATGCATGCTTAATTACGTGTGTCCTGACGAGAGCTACTGGTACTTAGCTAGGCATAATATAGAATTAACCAGAAAGATCGATCCAGCACCTGCGAGGATGCTACATATCGATCAACTACACATAGAATGTTCTAAGCTGCACTAATTTCACGTGCTAATTATTTGTCCTTAATTGTATGACACTTGCTAATTAACTGACTAACTAGGACTACATACATACATGTCTGTTAATTTTCCGAAGGTCGTGCGCAATTAGATATATAATATTACATGCTAGCTCCCTTGTTGGAGTGCTACAAGTGTTTCACTTTTTAAGTGGTTCTCTTTTGGATGCAAATGGCAAGAAGTAGTTAATTTATGTGTCTATTTTGACGAGAATGTGGCAAAAAGTGTGAGACCGGCTTCCCTTTTGGGAGGTACGATTGAATAGTTTTATATATAAGCCGCCATTGGTCGATCTGACTTGAGAAGAATGGGTCCAATTGGTTTCTGTAATTCGTTTGATTTAATTTTGGACTAAATTTGCTTTCCAAACATATTAATTATCACGTAGGCTTGGCGCGTACGTGTGTGCCCGCTAAATAGAGCTGAACCATATATATTAATTGGACGTGACTCCACAGCTAGTGGTAGCTAGTTTGTCTAAACCAGCTACCATTCCATCTATGAGAGATATTATCCACATATACTTTAAATACAATTTTCTCTTAAACTACTCATCCGATCTACGATTCGATTGCAGAGTTGTGTTTGTAGCAATTAAATCTTTATAACAAGATATCACATGATTATATTTTGATAAAAAAATATAAATTACTTTTATAATATATCTAGATTACTTTTAGATTTCACTAAATTACTTCTTAGATATGTAAAAGTAAATTCAATGAAGCCTAAAAGTAATTTACATATATTATAGAAGTAACTTATAACAAAAAGAAAGTAACTTTAATGAATGTCTTTTTTAATTGGATGTGACTACACAGTTAGTGGTAGCTAGTTTGTACTCCATCTAGTATCTCCTTTCAACTTGAAAAATACAATAGTATCTTCTTTTCTCATTCTATATGAAAAACAAAAATGAAAGGAAAAAAACAATCGATGATTAAACAGATTTATAGAGAGTTACTTTTGAACCATGCAAAAGGTACTTCCAATTAACATTGAAGTTACTTTTAAAAATTGTTAAAATTATGTGTGTTGATCTGTTCTGATTAAATTTAATTTATAGATAAAGTCATATTTTTATCCCTACAACGAATTTACTTCTAATGTCATGACAAAATTACTTCCGTTCCGTTTTGTTTTAAGTTTCTTTTATAATATACTATTAAATTTACTTTTATATGTCTAAGAAGTAATTTGGTCAACTCTAAAAGTAACTTATATATATGATAAAAGTACCTTACATATATAATAAAAGTAATTTACAAATATAAATATTTTTTCATCGTAATATAATCATGTAAGATCTTGTTGTGAAGATTTAATTGTAACGAACACAGTGGTGTAATCGGATTATAGATCGGATAAGTAATTTAAGAGAAAACTTTATTTGAAGAGGAAAAGGACGTACATGTATAGTAAAAAAAGGCATGCATGTAGTACCATGTAATAGCTGGACTTCTCCATGTTTCTCCGTGTTTAGACGTCGCTAGTTAAAGCAAAATCGAGACGCCTCTCCAAATAGATTTTACGATATTAATTGCATTTGACGAGG